TTTATTAACAAGTTATTTTATATAAAGAATTTAACAAGTAAGTATTTTGTTTGAATGGTTTAAAAAAGAAGATATTTTAACAATTCATCTTATTTATAATTAAGAAATGTGTAATTATTTTTTTTATTTTAAAGGTATAATTCTACTTATTTTAAATATTTGTTTCAAATAAATTTAATAAAATTATTAACATAATCATTTCTAATGAATAGTTTTTGAAGTAATTATTTATTACTTCACAGACAGTAAGTATTTATTAATTAGAATTAGAAGAATTACTAAATAAATAAGTACAAAAAAAAATATTAAAAAAATTCTTTAAATTAGTTAAACACAACACTTATCCATTTAAATAAAAACATAGATAAATTCCTTTTCAAATTGTTAGTCATAACATTCTGCTTATGACTATTGTTTCATAAACACCAATAAAAAGAATATAGAACTTAATGAAAAAAATAGAAGAGAAAATTCAAAAAATACAAATTCCAACAAAAGAAACAATTACTTAAACAAGTTATTTATAAATTAACAGAAGTTATTTATAAAGATTTATCAAAAATGATTAAGAAAAACTTCTTTATTAGAATATCTATAAAGGGAAAAGTCTTTGTTTTAATTTATTAAGTATTTATCATTATTTTTTAACTTAACGTGTATGAAAAGAATATTAATAACTATGATATGAAAAAAAAAAGAAATCAAATTAAAGAAAGATAAATTACATCAATCCATTAACATGAATATGAGAATCTATTATAGAGAAACAAGTAACCCATCAGTTACAGGAAGTGTTGGAACATGAGACGATTCTTGAATTTCAATAGCCATTTTATTTATTGCTTCAATAGAATAACGAGTACTAAAATGATGAATAATACATTTATTAGGTTTTATTTTTAATAATGTTTGAATAACTAACTGAGGATTAGAATGACCCCATTTTAAAGCGTTTTCATGAAGGTCACTTGCAAATGTACATTCATGTAATAACATATTTAATTGAATTTTTTGTTGAACAATATATTCAGCAAGTAAAGAAGAGTCATTAGTATCACCAGTAATTGCAATTGATGTATCTTGATGATTATTGTAATGAGTTTGACAAATAATGCCATGACCTTTAATAGAGCCATGATGAGGAATTGGGACACTTGTGAATGAAGTATTTTTAATAGAGAAATGAGTAATTTTGTCATCACTTAAATCTATATAAGAGACTGTTTTAGGAACTATATCACCAGAATATTCAAAAACAACATCAACCAATTTTTGAATTCCTTTTGGAGCAGCAATAATTAACTAAACTGATGAGCATTATATTTTATTATTAAATATATTGAAAATAGAAATTATATGAAATAATTATTTTTATTTTTAAACAAACTTCTACTGATGTTCCAAATACTACTGAATGAACAAACCCTGCAATACCACTTGCATGGTCTGAATGTGAATGAGTAATTATAACACCACGTATTTTATCTAAAGGGACACGAAATTGTGTTAATACGTTAGTAATTCCCTAAATAAATTAATTTATATATTTATTAAAAAAGGTTTTTTAAATTTTATTAAAACAAACATCTCCACAATCAACTAAATATAAATCCTCACCATTATTTGTATATATCAATGTGGAAGTAGTCATTCTTCCGTAAATAGGTCGTGCAGCAGAAGTTCCAGCAATAAGGAGATGAGTCATAATAAAATTAAAAAATAACAGTTTTTAATTTCTTTATTTTTTTATTTTTTTCTTAGTTGTAAAAAAAAATAGATAGATTTGATATTGTCTCGTTTGAAACACTACATCCAACCCTAAATTAAATTCAGACTTTGAATTTCTAATTATCATTTTGGTTATGACGTTATTTTTGTTGAAACAATGTTCTTACTCAAAATTGGTTAGATTGTTATTCATTAATATTTAGTACAAATGAATTTTTAGGTGATGATATCATTTATTATTGTGGAATATATTTGTTAATGAAGAATTTGTGTTGTGTGTATAATATGTTGTTAAGAAAAAAATAGGTTCTGTTAGTAGTTGTTGAAGTTAAAGGAGTTGAAAAATAATGTTATGAATATATTCTTCTTAAAATAACATTGTAAACAATAAAATAAATTTAAGACTCTTTAATTTTAAACTCAAATAAAAATTTAAATAAAGAAACGATTTAAGTTGAATTATCTTTTAAAAAATATTATTTTAAATGAAATAAATATACATTAAAGAAACTAATACAATTTCTTTTTAATATTACAAAAATTTCAATGTTAGGTAAATTACAGTTAATATTGTTATTAACTATTCTTTTTTTTTAATAATTCATTCTTTCTTCAAGTATTTTTCTTTGAAAAAAAAATATAAAAATCAACAAAAAAAAAGAAAAATTAAAAATAAAATAAAAAAAAACTTAAAAAAAAAATA